AACTGATTTATTAATTCAAATGAGACATCAGGATCAGATCATGAGATTATTCAATTTAATATTGAACTGAGTGAGGAATAAATGAGTGAAAATCCTCTTCTCTCTAATCAGTTTAACTTTGAAAAAGCTGACTGGAAGGCAGTTGAAGAAAGCATAAAACTGTTAAAATCTGAAAGACAGAGTGAGCTGTATTGAAATCCTGATCAAGATATCTCAAATGAAATGCTTGAGAATAGAGTGAAGCTCATTACATCTATTATTCTAGCAAGTGTTAAAGATAATATTTCAAAGAGAAAGTCTTCTGAGTATTTAAAACCTTGATGAAATGAGAATATCACATCTAAAAGAAAACAATTGACTACTGCTAGAAGAGATTGAAAGAATGATATAATTTCTGATAAAGAGTTCAAAGCTGTCAGAAATGAATATTTTTCAGATATTAAAAAAGCTAAAACAGACTGCTGAAATAAATTTCTTGAAGAAGTACAAGAAAAAGAAGTTTTTAAAGCTTTTAACTATACTAAAACAAGAAGTGTAGCAAAACTTTCAACCTTAGAATATGAGTTTCAGAATGAATCATATACAGCAAACTCTTTTAAGAAAAAATGTTAAGCTTTTATAAGAACTCTCTTTCAATACTCATCAGATTCAGATTCAGAGGAAGAGAATATATCACTTCTTAACTATATTGATGAAAATGACTGAGAATGACCTGATCTTACTCAAGATGAATTAGAGTCAGCTATTTTCTCAAGTTTAGTTAAGACTGCTGCAGAGCCTGATTCAATTAATCACTTGATTATTTAAAATACATACTTCTACTTAAAGAATGAATATTTTAAGCTCTTTTTCAATCTCTTGAAAAATGAATATTATTCTGAATGCTGAAGAGAAGCCACTGAAGTGATTCTTGCAAAACTTAATAGAAAAACTTCAATTCTTAAGTCATATAGAGTAGTATCTCTATTGAACTGTCTAGAAAAGGTTTTAGAAAAGATAATATCTACTCAACTATCTTTTATAAGCTCTGTCAGTAATTCTCTTTTATTCAGTGAATAAATGAGAGATAGAAAACAGTGTTCTACAATTGACACTGTTCTCTCAGTTGTTCATAATATTCAAATAGCAAAGCATGAAGATCTGGTCTCAACTGCAGTTTTTATTGATATAAAAGAAGCATTTGATCATGTTTCAAAGTCAAAGTTAATTCAGACATTGAAGATGTTAAAACTGCCACTTTCTCTAATAAAATGAGTTAACTGTTTTATATCTAAAAGAATTATATAACTTTTCTTTGATGGAATGAAATAAGACAAGACTGAGATAAAAATAGAAGTATTATAAGAATCTTCAATCTCACTCATTTTATTTGTAATATACACTGTATATCTATTCAAGAATAGAAATATGAGAATAGTGAGATCTCTGAGTTATGTGAATGATATTGATCTAGTCTACAGCTCAAAAACTATTGAAGAGAATTTGAAAGTGATTGAAGAAGCTGCAAAGAAAATCTTTGTTAGAGCAGATATCAATCAAATTCAATTTAATATGAATAAAACTGAGTTAATTCATTTCTTTTCTAGATTCAATGAGAAAGAACTATCTCTAACTCTTTTAAATAGAGAGATTAAACCCAGTGTAAATGTCAAATGATTAGAAGTATGATTAAACTTCAAGTTGAATTTTAAATATCACATTTAACAAAGAACTGTCAAGGCAGAAAGGCTATTAAACAACATAATCAGACTATCAAATACAGAGAGAGGTCTATTCTTCCAGGCTATGAGATAGTTATATATAGTCTGTATTACATCAGTAGCTGATTATGAAGTTCAAGTTTGATAAAATAATCAAGGAAATTTCACTGAACTCTTTCAAAGTCTGTAAAACAGAGTCTTGAGAAGAATTCTGAGAGTATTCAAATCATCTTCTATTAAAGCAATGAAAATTGAAGCTTCAATTCCTTCTTCTGCTATTAGATTTAAAAAGACCTGTATAAACTATGCTCTGAGAGTTATAAAGATGAGCTCAAATTATATAATCAGAGAAAGAGTCTCTTCTTCATTTTCATCAATTCACTCTGAAAATGAATTGAATTGAAATAGATTTCTTGATTGAAATGAAAATAATTCTTTAAAGAAAATGTCTTCTCAACTGTACAGACTATGCTCTCTGATTAAAAATCAATTTTCTTCTTTAAATATTGAAAAAGTGAATTATGAGAAGTTGTCTCTCTGAAGAGAAAAGCTTGAATCTCTTATAGACTTACAAATAAGTGAACTATCAAAAGAGAAAGAATATGAACAGTATTTAAAGAGAATTTCTACAATTAATATAAAAGACTCTATTCTGATTTATTCAGATGACTCAAAAAATAAGAATCTGAATAGATTAGACACAGGCATTGCTTATACTGAAGATAATATCAATTTTATCTCAGATTTCTGAAATCTAGGCTGTGAATCTGAAGTCTTTGATGCTGAACTATTTGTAATAGTGAAAGCTTTCAAACTCATAGAAATAAAATCTCATAAAAGAGGAAATAGTTTGAAAGAGATATGAATATTCTCTGATAGTCAAGCTGCTTTTAAAAGACTTAGAAATAGTCAGATTCATAATAATCAAATGAATCTTGAACTAATCTTAAACTCTGTTTTGAAAATTCAAAAGAGAAGAATATCAAATCTGATAATTCATCTGCACTAAGTTGCTGCTTATATGAATATTCATGACAATGAATTGGCTGATTCAGCTGTAAAAAAGAGTGCAGAATTAAGCAGATCTATTCAAAAAGTTATATTCTGATCTTTTATAAAGAGAAAAATAAAAGAATCTTGTTTAGATAAGTGAAATGAAAGCTGACAGAAACAAAAGAAGAGTATATATTATTCAAGATTTGAAATAAAACTCAAGTGAAAATCTTGTTCAATTAAATGTAAAAAGAAAATATTCTCATCTATAATACAGTTAAAACTAGAACATGACTATTTCAAATCTTATATACAAAGATTTGATGATAGATTTGACTCAATAGAATGCTCATTCTGCAATACAAATGAGAATGCTGAGTATATTGTAATGCACTGTGCATTATACAATAGTCTCAGAGCCAGATTGAAAGAGAAGTATGATCTAAATTAATTAAATATAAGATTCTTATTCTCAACTGAGACAGGAATTAAATACTTAATAGACTTTCTATCAGAAACTCAAGCAGCTACAAGAAAATAGCTAAATTCAGAATTATCTGAATATGAAGAGAGGGAAATCAATCAGATATAGTCTGTTAAAACAGCTATATACTATCTTTTAATAATTTGTTTTGTTACAGTCTTTCTTTACTTTATCTTTTTCTTTCAATTCCTTTCTGTCTATCTATTTAATATGTCTATCTTTAAGACTGTGTTCTCTTTTCCTTTGTCATGATATTGTCAAATGATTTCAAAATATCAGAAGATGTTAAAACACTGTAATTTGTAAACAGTTTTTGTATTCTGAGCTGAAATTTTCTGATTTTGCATATCTGAAATTGATGAATGTATTTAGTTAACTTTACAGATATAGGAAAAACTCTGAGAACTAAAAGTTCTCAGGTAGATGTCATAGTCTCTGACTGCATACATCTATAATTGAAGAATAATAATAATAATAAGAATGAGTATTAAAATACATTCTTAAAGTGAGATTATTATTATTTACTCATTATATCTGTTTAAAGTAAAAGCTTGATTAAACTCTATGTATCTTATTTCAGTCTGTAGTGATGTGAGTAGTAAATACAGAGATAATAAGAATTTACTCTTACAGTGTTAATACACTTAATTGAGAAGAAATTAAATTATGCTTATAAGTAATATAAATGAAATCTAAGTTTATACTTAGTTTGAAATTAATATAAAATATCTTAGCTTTATATTTCTTATCTGAACTAAAATTTGTAAGTTTTTCATTTACTTAATTTAATTCTTATTTAAATTACAGAATTCATTTCTTAAATCTAGTAACTAATTTATAAGAGAGATTTAAAGCTGTAAATCACTTTCTTATCTTAATTAAATAGATAGTGTAGAAAGATTCTTCTTCTAGAGTAAATACTACTTTAATATATTTAAAATCTGCTATAAAAGAGATTTTAATCAAGTGAGAATGTTTTTTATTCTGAAAACTCATTTAATATAGTAATATTATAATAGTATTAATTTTAAATTATATCTTAAAATAGAGTGATAAAACTAGAGAATTTTATTTTATAAGATTTTCATCTCTGTGAGTGAAAGATAAGATCATGAGAGAAAGTATATATAATAATTCACTACTCACTGTTAATATCTGAAAGAGAGATGAAGAAGCAGAGTAACTTCTATTTTTTAATATTTTAATTTAAAATATGAGATCTGATTAAGTTCACAGACTGAGAATAATAATAGTATAGTAATGTATTAATACAGATAAACTAAGTAGTGATAAAGATTGAGTGAAAGCAGTTAAATATATAATATAGATAATATTTTATAATAGTAATCTTATATTTATAAGTCTGTAATCTCTCTTTACTTTATCTTTTTCTTTATCTTTTTCTTTCAATTTCTTTCTATCTATCTGTTTAATGTGTCTATCTTTGAGACTGTGTTCTTTTTCTCTTTTCTTTTATCATGATATTGTCAAATGATTTCAAAGTATTAAAAGATGTTAAAATACTGTAATTTGTAAACAGTTTTTATATTCTGAGCTGAAATTTTCTGATTTTACATATCTGAAATTGATGAATGTATAATAGTTAACTTTACAGACATGGAAAAAACTCTGAGAATTAAAGTTCTCAGGTAAATATCATAGTCTCTGACTGCATACATCTATAATTGAAGAATAATAATAATAATAATAAGTCTGTAATCTTTATATAGTAGCTGTTACTAGAAGCTGTAATTACTATCTAATCTGAGATTTAATCATGACTTGATCTGAACACTAGGACGCGTATGTAGACATGCTATCATATATAATGTTATTCAACAAAGTTGAATTCCATTCTCTTCTAGCTAGCTAGGATGGGGGAGAATGAGAATATATAAAGGAGGAAAAAGTGGGCGTTCTGAGGATTACACAGGCATGATGGGAAATACGCGTATGACGCGTAACGTGGACGTGTAGCGCGTAACAGTGATAGAGGGATTAGAGAGTGAAAGTGGTAGAGAGCTCCACAAGCCACAAAGTGGGTGTAAGCAAGCATTTGATGTTTGTTGTTATGATGATCTATCTCTCTATTTCAACTATCCTACATAGTGTCAAGACCCTCAAAAAGGAAATTCTCCACCTTTAATGACCAGGGTTTTCATCATATATTTTGCTTCAAATATAAAACCTATTAACTCCAGTCGTATGATGCAATACAGACTTTTTCTTTTTTCTTTCCTGTAAACACCCCAATAATGTAGACTAACTACATGTACAATCCCAATATTTTAACCAATGGTCCAGCAAAATGAACAATCCTGAGACGTCAAAACAGTACGAACACAATATGCACACGCATAACTAACCCTGCACTTCCGATTGTTCGCCCGAAAATTGTAATTCCACCCACCCCCAATTTAACGACGCCAAAATGTAAGTCATCTTAATTTCCATACCCATGCCATCCTGGCTAATGAAGGCTACATACTGCCAGTTAAGAAGAAAAAAGAAAAAAAAGAATATATAAAAGCAAATAAAATGTAGCGTGTACGAAGCAGGAGAAGGAACCCAGCCCGACGTTAGTAGAGTAGTAGTCTTTTTTAAGAACGACGACGACGACGAAATAGGCTAGGAAATGACCAACTTGGGCCATTCAACAGTCCCATGTACGCAGGGTCATTCTTGAAATCCTCATCGCGGAATTTCTACCAATGCCCGCAGGAGAGAGCGCAGTTAGTAAAACTTCAAATACCCTAAATAAAAATAAATAAAAATAAAAATCGGGGGAGGGAGGACATCAATCATACCATCCCCGGCCACCTCCTAAAATCCCCACTATCCTCCGTCATCATATTCCACCCTTCCTCATAGTCATACGTGTTGCCCTCCGGATCCGTCGAGCCCGGTGGGTAAAACGCAACCCCATCCAGCGGCCTGGCATGCCAAATGCAGTCCGCGATCTTGCCCGGCGGGGTGGCCTTCAGCGCCTCCTCGTTGGACGACTTGAGGGCATCGATAGGGTTGTAGCTGTGGCAGGATCTGTTTCTGTAGGGGCTGGCGGCGTCGTAGGGGCCTTCGTGGTGGTAGTGGAAGGGGGTGATGTTGTCAAGGTAGTCGATGACGTCGGGGGGCACGTAGGTGCTGTTGTGGCGGGGGCGGGAGCGGTGGGTGTGTTTGGCGTTGGGGAGGGGGAGGGGGTTGGAGTGGGAGTGGGTGGGTTTGGGGGGTCTTCGGGGTGTGGTTTTTGCGTCTGAAGGGAGGGAGGGGATTGGTTGTGTCGGTGCTACGGAGGAGTATGGCGGTGGAGGAGGGGACCTCGTCGGAGCAGTTGGAGGTGGCATGGTTGTTGGATGTGCTTGTGAATGCATGTAACACTTTGTGGAGAGAAACAAACAAGAATAAATTAAAAGAAATGTTTGTGGGAATTTGATGGCAAGATATTATATTTGACTTGGGTAGTAGTAGTAGTAATTGAAGTCACCGGCGATGTGTAGGTAAACATGTAGAATTTATGAATTTATGGCTGTTGAAGAGTGGAACAGGAGAAAGGTACATGCACAGTACAAAGCTGATTGCTATATTTATTCAAAGTGACAGAAACCAAATTAGGCACAGCCCCTGGGCAAGACATGGTGCTGATATATGAGTATATATATATAGAATATGAGAAGTTTATCTGAGATAGCCATCGCCGCATCACTGTGATATCATATTTGCTTTTTCAAATCTAAGTTTATTAACTAACTACTAGTCTAGACAGAGAATCCAAAAGATTAAGAATTTAAGCTGCAATGCTGTTATTATTCTCATTCTTAAGCACTCTGAGGTTTAGGCTAGCTGACATCTGCATATATGAGATCTCTGATTGATTCAGAAATTAGCAAAATTTGATAGAAGTCTAAAGAAGTTTACTTGCTCATAGTAATCCAAAAATATCAAGAGAGGCTGAGCATGCGGAGGTAACATGGTACAGCTCCCTAATAAGCTCGGCGACCAGCTTAGCTCTCTCCCAGCTATTTGCAACACTTTACTCTAAGCGATAGACGGACTGACAATACAGGCATGGCATCTCGACTAAGCGCGTGGGGAAACACTCTGCGGCAGAAGCCTTCATCATCGAGAAAAACTCCGAACGTTTCGTATTCTACTCTACCGTTTGGGATCTATGTGGAGGAGGAGACTTTGCCTTAATATAAGCCTGTGCAGTTCCTCACAGTCAAAATTGGAGACATATTCGAGGCCAGATACCAGGTCTCAGGAAAGATTGGTAATGCCCCTAGCAACCGCTCCTCTAATAATTCAAAATGCTCAGGGAAAATAAATATACACTATTGAAGGTATCCACGTCGCTGCCCACATACCCAACAAGCAACCGATCGCGAGTTAAAGATCTATGAGCATCTGAGAAAGTCAATTCTTCGCATCCTGGTCAATCACTCAGCCGTGAGCTTTACAATTCATTTGATATTCAAGGTCCTGCTGGCAAGCACCGCTGTTGGTGCTACAACCAATGCTCATGACACTCCTTGAGATGATGAGACAGAATCCGAGGCCGCTTGACCTACCCCTCCTCAAAATGACTGTCAAGTGACTACCATTGGCCCTTGACTTTTTGCACACTGAAGCTGAGATAATCTATACTGGTATTCAGCCCTGCCACTATATCGCGCGAACAACTCGTTTCTGACTCGAACTACCTTTAAAAACTGACAATTTGATGCTCAGCCGGAGGATAACAGCATGCTAGCGGATTTAGCAGAGACAGAGGCCGAAAATCCAATCCTCGGAAGAAGATCCATGAGTCACATATCATCTACCAGAGTAGAAGATTCCGTCGCCCGGCTGGAGAGGTAAAAGTTATGCGCTCCCTATACTGTGTGACTTTGGCGAGGCACGAATTTGGAGAAAGACAGGAGTTCGGCCCATTCATCCAACCACATATTTATAGAGCACCGGAGATAATATTTCAGATGCCGTGGGGGAGTTCTGTCGATATTTAGAACCTAGCGGGTTTGGCAAGTAACTATAGCGCTTCCTTCTGTAGCCGCCATGGAGGTCCTTTGCTGATCACTCGGTAGATTTGGGACCTCTTTGAAGGGGGGCATTTGTTTGACGATAAATTTGGCACGAAGGGAGGCTATGACCCGATCAAACATTTGGCGCTCATGGTTGAGTTGATGTACCCACCACCACAAGAATTTGTCACACGGTGGTAAGTATCTTGTGTCTAACGTGTGGAAGGTGTAAAGCTTGCTTGATTGAAAAGGTTGCTGGCTAGGTTGGTGTATACAGAAAACTTGACCTCGCTAAGTGCGCCACTTGACCTCGTTACATAATCATGACCCCGACCTCGCATAATACAGTAATAACCGTGCCATGCTTACTCACTCTCTGTAGTGAGTGCGCCACAGTGTATGGAAAACCACACTGTAAAGAAAATATTTTCAATATCTTTATTCTTCATCTTCAAATAATCATCATTAATTATAACCATGTCTAAATCTTCTAATTACACTGAGAAGCAGTTGCAAAGAGCTGTTGATGTGTACAAAAGTAATTCAAAATTAAAAATCATGTCTCTGTCACAAGAATTCAAAGTCTCATATGTCACCTTGTATGAGAGGATCAATGGGAAGAAATCAAGAACTATGAGAGTTTCACTGAATTGAGTATTGAATGACAGTCAGAAAGAGACAATTAAGATATGAATTCATCAGTTGAACATTAATTTTTACTCACTTATCATCAAGTATATCAAAGCTGCTGTGAATCACATATTGAGACAGTATTATACAGATTCAGAGACTGCACCTCTTACAGTAAGCAAGATATGAATATATCAATTCATCAAATGCCTGTCAGATTATAAATGAGTTAAGCAAAAACTCATGAATTCAAAACAAGTGTCTTGTGAGAATATAAGCTTTATTATCAACTGATTTGATTAATATGAAGCTGTCTCAGTATAATGACAGACAATTTCTTACTAATCTGAAGAGTATCTGACTACAAGCATTCAAATCTGACACTGTGAGAGCTGGCTTTGCTGACTGTGAAATGTATCCAGTTAATCATGATATAATTCTCAATTGATTGAGACCTCTTATCATTGATGATGCTCTGAATCTCAACATATACAATGATGATGATAATGTATGCAATTACTTTACTCTGCCATCTGCAGATCAACTGTCAACTGCCTTCTCACAATTAACCTTCTCAGAGACAGTTGCAAAACTATGTCATTAAATTAATACAGCAGTCAAGATCTTAGAAGATGTGAAGAATACTCTTATATCTGATTTGACAAGGCAGTTGAACAAGATCTTCAAGAGTAGTATGATTCAGGCAGAATTGAATACATATCATGAGAATGAACTTGCAGATTATTATTAAACAAATAGATATCAGGTTATCAAATCCTCTCATAGACAGATACAAGTAGATGAAGTTCTCACTATTAAGAATGTCAATCACAAGATCACAATCTGTAGAGCAGATAAGATGAAAAAGACATTTAATAAGACTCTTTGATCAATTGAAATCAAATCTACAAAATCTACAGTCACTCAATCACAATAAGATAATTCTATAGAATCTTAACTTACAGTGAATTCTACATCTTCTAATAAGTATATAGATAATATTTATATTATAGATAGATGTAATGATGATTATTAATTAATTTTTGAAGATTACTATATTCAAAATATTTTCTTTACAGTGTGATTTTCTGTACACTGTGGCACACTCACTACAGAGAGTGAGTAAGCATGACACAGTTAATCAGTTGATAATTAACTTTCAACCTTTTAATTCACTTATTCATTCAGCTCATTAATTAATTAAAGCATGTATAGCTGATTCATAATCAATTAAATAAACAGATAAATTCATATAGAATATAAAGAGATGTTTTACAGAATTTTAAAATATATCAAGATAAAAATATTTAATAATTAATTTTAAATTGATTTTAAATTGATTCTGAATTGATTCTGAATTAATTATAGTAATAAAAATAGATTTAATCTATATATTTAAGTAATTAATAATTGATTGAAAATCAGTTAATAATCAATTCAGTATTATTATTAAATTCAAGAATAATTTCAGTATTAAATTGATTTTAAATTAATTTTGAATTGATTTTAAATTGATTCTGAATTAATTATAGTAATAAAAATAGATTTAATCTATATATTTAAGTAATTAATAATTGATTGAAAATCAGTTAATAATCAATTCAGTATTATTATTAAATTCAAGAATAATTTCAGTATTAAATTGATTTTAAATTGATTTTGAATTAATTAAGAATTGATTGTAGAATTGATGGTAAATAATTGAGTAGTTTCAAATTACAAGAAAAGATGTATTGAGCGAGGTCAGGTAGTGGCACGGGCCACATTTGCGAGGTCAGCTTACATAACGAGGTCAAGTGGCGCACTTAGTGAGGTCAAGTTTTCTGCTTCCTGCTAGGTTGTGGGAAGTTATATGGTGGAAGGATTAGTAAGCCGGATCATGTGACCTGACATAACGCGTAACTATGCACCTTTTATTAACCTCTGGCCGCAACCGCGAGGACACAATTAGCGTATTTTTTAGCGTGTACATTAGTGTATTAAATATACAAAAACTCCCGAATAATATGAGCTCCAGGTGAGCCGCGAGCTCGCGTTGTAATTGCAATCCATTCTCTGTGGCGATTTCTTCCGGGGTCATGAGAGAACGCCGCTCTTGCTCTGCATTATGCTCTGCTAGCCGCCTTTTCCAATATTCTCTGTCGGTGGCCCTTATGGCATTTGCCGGAAACTCAGATCTCCGGCGTTTGGGACGGACGGGTTTCTCGACCATTTTATCGAGCGAGGGGTAAAATAATAAATAAACTAGTTATGAAAGCTAGCTGAGCAGCAGCTCTCTGAGAGAATCATAATCTCTGAAACAGATCTGAGAGAACAGAAATGATAATCAGTTATATAAAGTGTTAAAATATGTATATAGTTTAAAGTATAAACTGCAGATACCTTGTTCTGTAGATTTTTAAAACTGTTTTCTTTTATTTATTATATCTGGAAAAAATGATTCAAGTTATTAAAATGTTAAAAATATTGTAATTTGTAAGAAGTTTTTATATTCTGAGCTGAAATTCTCTCATGTAAGAGGCCTATGCTGAATAGATCAGTATTATATTAATAGGTCTTATTAGACTGACCGTGTGACCATGTCTGAGACCAGAACCAGATTTTTTGATAGTTTCATTACCAATTCAACTGATCTTATTACACAGTTTTAACATTAGATAGTAGTCTCATACTGTCTCAGTGAGACTTACTGTCTACTCTTGTCACATTTTTCAAATGAGATCATGATTTCTACTTCTCAATTTAAATTATTTTTATTGCTTTAAATGACTTTAAATCTCATTTGAGTGTTATCAAAAAGCATTACTTTTTAAAAAATTAAAAATAGTCTAAAAAAAACCTTAAAATGTCTAAAAATAGTAACTTTATGTCAAGAATGAGACTAAATGAGATCAAATGAGATCACTTTCTCATTTTTTTCAAGTCATGGTCTTATTTTAAAATCTGATATATAGTCACTTTGTATGTTTTTTTGATAGTCAGTCCCAGCGGGATTCACATCAAGAAATGTATGAAATCAGATTAAATGAGATTAAATATGAAATTCATGATCTCAGCAGCCAGTCTAGGTCTTATATAATAAAGAGAAAAATGTTAGAGAAGAAAAGAAAGAGAAAGTATGAGAATCAGCAATTGAGATGAATATTTATACACATATGTGATGGCTGAGAATCAGTGATTAAGAATGGCTGAGAATCAGAGCATATGTACTTATAACAGCTAAGAATCAGTGATTGAGAATGACTGAGAATCAGAGCATATATATTCATGATGACTGAGAATCAGCAATTAAGAATAACTGAGAATCAGAGTATATATATTCAAGAGTGAACTAGAAGAATCTATGAAGTGTAATAAAATAGTCTATATAATTGATCAGATGCAGTCTGTCACATTAATTCTCTTCTTCTAGAAGTAGTTCTCATCAGTCAAGAGCTGCTGTTTTAAATAATATAAAACTCAGAGTTTAGATTAATTAATTATAGTTAACTCATTTTATGAGATATTTTCAGCTGCAGCTGTGAAGTCTCTTATTGAGAATATTTTCAATCTCTTACTCAAGCTCATTATCTTCTTCTATGATATCTGATGACTGTCAGTTAGAAGTTAGTTGAGAAGAGAACAGATCAGTAATAGTACAGTGAAATAAGCTTATATAAAATATATTATAAATCTCTGATGATATGTTAAGATAGTAGTTATAACTATCTAGAACTTCTATTACTTTATATCTGATATAACAGTAATTTAGTGTATAAGATAAATATATAATTTATATATTCTTAAGATTCAATTATATCAGATCTTCTATCTTATATTATTCAGCAGAGTCTCAGTAAATATTGATTTAATTCTCTTAATCTTATTTTACAGTTGTTATAAAGATCTCTGCTCAATCACAGATAGACTGGTCACTGAGATCATGAATTTCATATTTGATTTCATTTGATCTGATCTCATACATTTCTTGGCGTGAATTCTGCTGAGACTGACTATCAAAAAAACATGTAAAGTGACTATATATCAGATCTTAAAATGAAATCATGACTTGAAAAAAATAAGAAACTGATTTCATTTAGTCTCATTTAGTCTCATTCTTAGTATAAAGTTACTATTTTTAGACATTTTAAGGTTTTTTTTAGACTATTTTTAATTTTTTAAAAAGTAAGACTTTTTGATAACACTCAAATGAGATTTAAAGTCATTTAAAGCAATAAAAATAATTTAAATTGAGAAGTGAAAATCATAATCTCATTTGAAAAATGTGATAAGAGTAGACAGTAAGTCTCACTGAGACAGTATGAAATCACTATCTAATGTTAAAACTGTGTAATGAGATCAGTTGAATTGATAATGAGACTATTAAAAAATCTGGTTCTGATCTCAGACACGGTCACACGGTCAGTCTAATCACAGATAACTCAGAGCTTTATTACTAGACTGGCCGGTGAGACTATGAATTTCACATTTGATCTCATTTGATCTGGTCTCATACATTTCTTGGCGTGAGTCTCACCAGGACCAAGCCTCAAAAAAATCTGAAAATGAATCATTTCTGAGAGAAATGGCATGAAAAATGACCAGATTTAATTCAAGAACAGTGAAATGAGAGTAATTTTCCAGAATAAACTGTGAAAGATGATCATTCTTTCAAAATCAGAATGAGACTGAGACTGAAGATTAAAATCAGTCTCATTCAGTTCATTCAGTGATTACTTATATAATCAGAATTTGATAACAATTATTGATAACACTCATGAAACAACTAAATACATTCTTGTGCAAGTTTATTCTTCACTTTCTTATGAAAACTACACTTCTCTGATATACTGTGATCAGAGATATTAAACTGTCTGATAATTTCATATTTTACAATCATGAGTTTCTTGATTGTTTCTCCTTGTAATTGTTCTCAGTGATAGTGATAAATATCTTAACTTGAGTTGAACTTTCACTTCATTCTCACCTCTGTCAATGAAATTGCTAGAATATCATATATCATCAGTGCAACAGTTGAATATATACTCTCAACAATTTTTCATAACTCTAGAATTGATTTGATGTGTAAATTCATTGAATTATCTTGAAGATAGCAGTCAAATTCAGTTTTACAAGCATGTAGTTTTGCCTGATTTTCAGTTGCAATCAATGTATGCAAGTTCTGTTTCAAAGTTAGTATTATAGTTCTATGTAATATGAAGTATTATCAAAGATCATTACTTACTAGAGAATTGTATTTCACTGTTTTCACATCTTGAACATCTGCTCATTCAAATCTCTGATAGTTGACATTGTAGTAGTCTCAGACTAATTTAACATATGAGTCTTATTTCTCCTCTGTTCAATCTTGAGAAGTGTAGATATTAACTCAATGAGAGAGATCTAGTAGAGCTGCTACAGCATAGTACTCTGTAAAAGATTATTTCATTTTGCTGTAGTAATATGCCAGTTTATCTCTTACAGTAACAATAGCATGTGCTATAGTGTTATCTCAGACTGAATTTCTTTTTAAGTGATTCAACTGCTTCTTAAGATGAGTAAATAAACTGTTATATACTCATCAGACTGACTGCAGTATTGATATACAAGTGATTGAGACTGTCTTTATTATCTTATAAAACTGAAACAGTAAATCAATCACATATTTCAACTGAGTTCACTTTATATCAGAAAGTTTTAATATCTGAATCTTTTCTCAATCAGAGTGTTGCACTCAATGATTAATCATCTGACACAATCAAAGAGTCTGAATAGTTATCTTATATGTTGAACTTCACTGTGTTCTATCATTCTGTATCATATTCAGTGATGTGACTGATTTATTTATTTATTAAATATCATGAAATCATTATTATTATTTAGAAGAGGTACAAATTGCATTAGCAATGTTTTGAATCTATGATATTTAAATTATTAGTCAATCTATTCAAAATTAACAGTAGCATTATCAAAAAGTGTTATTAAAAAATAATATCAAAAAGTGTTGTTAAAAAATATTATCTTTTGCAAAGTAAATGTAAAAGTTACTTGAGTAATTACTTTCATCTCATTTTCATCTCAAGTATCAGTCATCTCATTATTCTTCATCTCAATGTTAAGATTCTTTATCAGTATTTGTATCACAAGTTGAACCACATGAGCAATGCAGGAAATATGACCTTGTTTATCATTTCAGAAATGCAAAGCCAATTTTTACTTCAAGCTCTTCATCATAGTGTAGTTATTCACAGCATTATCAGTTGTAATTGTAAGAAGACTGAGACTAATATCTCAATAGTTATTTTTAATCACAGTCATTAATATCTCTGCTATATAATCCTCAGTATGACTACTGATCAATGATTCAAATTCAATTAATATCTCTTGATAAGTTCAGTTCTCATCAATATAATAACATATAACTCTCATAAATGTAAGATTGTTTGTACTAGTTCATGCATTCACTGTGAGAGATACTCTTTAATGATTCTTCAACTCTGATTCTAGATATTGTATATTGACTTTGTAATATGTCTTGAGATTGAACTGAAGACAGAATTGATGTAAAATATGAAGATTTGAATTAAGCATTTGAAGAAGTGTTTGAAATTCGGGGTTTTCAATTGATCAAAGAGAAAGATTCAGAGATATACACATGTGAAGTAATTGTTCATGAAAGTTATCAGATAAGAGTTATGAAATCAGAGTACTGATACAGGGTTGTTTTTGCATGATTTTCTTCAAATTAGAAAGTTAGTGTTATCAAAAATTGTTATCTGATAGAGTAACTTATCAGCTCAGTAGTAATTTTCTAATTATTTTTCTTTTATTGTCTGCATTCTGATGACTTCAGATGTCAGGAAATTCCTTCAGAGTCATGATCAGTTCATGATGAATATTTCTGAATAAAGTTGCAGTGATTACAGCAAAGAGATGACTCTTCAGTAATCTGCAATATAATCTATTGATAATTATTTCATAGTTCATCTTGATATTTGTGTTGAGTTTTTCATAAATTTTGTGACCTGAAATCAGATGTGAAGAATGAAGTGATCATTCATTATAATGGAAAAAGAGTATTCTGTGTTGAATTATAAACAATGTAGACTTTGTAATTCACAGTGATTTCTTAAAGAGTTTATGAATCTTCAATAGAAGTAAAAGAAGTGAAAGAAGTGAATTCAGAAGATATGATAATAATTTAAGAAAGATAATAATTTATTTTCAATAACTGATCACTGATGTGTGTAAGAAGAATTAATATAAGAGAAAATAATCTTGTTTCTTAGCTTAGTTATAATTTTAGTACTAACTCAGATTGAATATTATTAATGTATAAAAGTAAATAAATAATCTTGATTAATCTCTGTCATATTTCTTGAAATATATTAATATTGTGAAAGAGAGTGTTATCAAATTGTATTATCAGATGATATTATTAAAAATATATTAATATTGTGAATATCAATGTTGAAAAAATGTTGATACTTATACATTATAGTGATTTGTGAATCATGATAGTTAAATATATATATATATATATATTATTCCTGACTTGATTACAACTTGTACAATAATTTTTGAAAACTTAAAATCAATTTTAATTATTAATAATTAAAAACTTAAACTTATAACTAACTAATATAAAAAGAAAAAAATCTACTTCTTCTCTTTCTCATTCTTCTTATTATTCTTCATAATTCACTTCTCATTCTTCTTCTTCTTCTTCTTCTTCTCTTTCTTTTTCTTCTCATCTGAGGTGATAATCACCTCAAAATCTCTCTTCACTATCTTCTCAGAGAAGGGTTTCTGCTGCTCTCTTTCAGCCAGGTCAATCTGTATCTCAAAATCCCACATTTTCTGATCTACTGTCTCAGATTTCATTTCAGCAGTAAGCAGATTGACATGCTCAGAGAGTAGAGCTGTCTTCTCAATATTCTGAATCATGAAGCATATTCAAGACCTGAATAAGACCTCAATTCTCTTCTTCTCTGTCAGCTTCTGCTAATCAATTAGAGAACAGAAGTATTATCAAAAATCATTATCTCTTAATAAAAAACTTATCAGTTTTGACTTCTTTATCTTCTGCTTTAATATCTTCTCAATCTTCTTCTGCTGTTACTTATTTACAGTAATACTCTTCTTCTTTCTCTCTCTCTTTATCTTGATCTTAAATTATTCTCAGAACTTCTTCTGATCTCACTGCTACTGTATAAGACTCTTCACTGTCTTCTTTTTCAATCTCTCACAGGTGATGTCATCTGCATTATTTCTATACTTAGTTCAGTCTAAATCTATCAGAAGTGTTACTTAAAATTGTTATTATTCTACTTTCTTATAAAGTCTCTTCAAGGCATTATAACATGTCTTACAATCTGTCTTCTCACACTTGAATATCTTCTTCTTCTCTCTCTTCAATCTGTAACAGCGCTCACGCGCCTTGATGGTCCGCAGGACCCCAGAATATTTGAAGAGAAATGACATAATTGATTTTAATGAGTGTTGAGAGAGAGGTGAAGACAGGCAATGATATAATAATAATGATGATAATGATGATGATGATAATAATGATAATGATAATGATAATGATAATGATGATGATGATGATAATGATGAAAGAGAGAGTGCATCAGAATATATTATTAACTTATCAAATATAAAGAGATAAAGAAACTATTAACAGCTTTCAGAGATGTACAGAAATGACTACAGTGTTACATAGCAACATTATCTTTATTCAATACATACACTATTGATATTCTTTGTATGCATTTATCATATAATCTATATCAGAGATATATGCAGAAAACAGATCTTTGTTACTAGAAAGAATGATTGCAGTGATTCTCTGTTTTCATATTATAAAGATAAGTTATTCTCATTTCTTTCTTCTCTCTTTTCTCTTCTTCTTCAACTCACTACTAAGTTCAAGCTGGTATGAAAACTATTAAAACACTCATAGAAACCCTCAAATTGAAGAGTATAAACTAATCAAATTTTAAATGCAGATGAATTAAATTAATTCAATAATACTAATTATTCATTTCTTCTTTAATAAAACAACAGTCATATCTTTCTTCCCTCCCTCTAAATGAAACATGGCTCGCGAAAAGCGAGTACCATGTCAGGCTATAATGACTAACACAGTCCCAGCATGCAGAGCTGTATACACACAGTGTGTACTGAATTAAGAGACTGTGTGAGTTGCAAACTGATGACAGCATCTCAGAGAGAGCTGTGCAGTGTGAGAAAGCTGCAACTCTCAGTCATGTATGCAGAGAATGAATTGCTGCAGTAAGTGCATGTGCATTGCATGAAAGTAATGCTTTTTAATAACACTCAGTCTCTGATATCATGAAAATAGAGTCTCTTCATGAGATTCATTTTTATCAGAAGTTGAGAGATCTTATATTTCTCAAGATCATCTTCACACATCTTGTCTGTGAAATTGATGAGAGAAATTATCAATTTCAGTATTCTGCTCTTGATATCATTTAAGTGACAGCAGAGTTCACCCTGGCCACACTTTTTGAGTGTATGTTTTCTAATTATTCACATTTATACAGATATATACTGATTATTTATTAAATGATGTTAAGATAATAACTCATCATGACTGTGTTATTCTCACTGTGAGAGATACACAGTTGATAATAAATATTATAAAGACTCTGAGAAGTGAGTATTTTAAGAGTGCTGCAGCTCTGTAATCTTGATTTTTTTTATTTTTATTTTTTATTTTTTTCTTTTTCTTTTATTTTTTTTTTTCTTAATGTGATTTTTTCTTGTGTTTGTTTTGTTTTTTATTTTTTGTTTTTTTTTATATTTTATGTTTTTTTCATAATTAAAATTATATGAATTATGATCTGTATTCACAAAAGTAATGATATTTAATAATACTCTCTGTTGAATTTTCAACAAATGAGTACTATGTTATGATATTATGTAAGTGAGAAGTGATTTTATAGTCTCATTTAATGTCATTCTCAATAATGAGATCAGAATGAAAATGTGACTAAGAATTCAAATATATTCTTTATTCAGAATTAGATTTTTATTTGAAAAGTGAATCTGAGATCTTTAATATTTGAAATAATGTGATTTGAAATCAATGTGATGAACACAAATCATGATCAGAAGTAATGCTTTTAGACAATATGACAACTGTAAAGTTTGATCCTGGTCTCAGACACGGTCACACGGTCAGTCTATTTATTACTATATTATCAGTGATCTGAATCAGACTGCAGAGATTCAGTGTGAACTATATAATCTCTAGAAGATTTAATATCTTTATATAATAACTATATATAAGAAAGAACAGACTTATATCTGTTAAAATAATATCTTATTCATTAATAGTAATCTCTGTATATAGAAGCAGATTATGTTAATCATCTTATAAGTAATTATAGAACTTATAAAGATAGTTCTTTATAGTCTGAATTATCTATTCTAATGCATTATCAGTCTCAGAGTGATAAATAGTTAATAGACAGTATATAATCTTAAGAACTTGATAGATTCTTATTCAGAGAGTACTCATGAATTAGTAACTTTAATTCAATACTATTAATCTCAGTAACTTATACATTTAATAGAATAAACTCTATAAGAAGACTTCAGTGACTTATTCAGTATTTATTTTATTATAAGATTTCAATATTATATCTTTACTTAGTTAGTTAATAATGATTAGAATGTTTCTATAACTCTTACTCTTAAATAGATTAATAGCAAAGTCAATCACTATATCTTATCAGATTCTATCAGAAATATTAAGTGATTTCAGTAGATCTTTTCTACAGTTCTTTTATAGAATAATAGAAGAATAGTAATTATAGTTTCAGATAAAGTATCTGATACTGTTTAATATTTTAGATTAATAGAACTCTTAGAAAATTATTCTATATAGTTATTCATAGTCTGAATAATTAGTTATACATAAATCATACATCTCTTATGTTATTCAGATGTGTAAGAGTTCAGAGTGAGAGACTCAGTGTTATTTATAGAATTATAGAGTGTTATTATTATTAATTAAACATTCTGAAATGTTAATTGTTACACATAATTCTGAGAGAACTCAGAGTGCTTCTTATTATACTGCTTCAGTGAGTGCTTGAAGAAGTTCATTAATTTAAGCTACTGTATACTATAGCTTATCTAATATAGGTTCAGAAGAAGTTGAGATATCAGTAACAGTTCTAATTGAAGAAGTATATATAGTATCATGAGCTGTTTTATCTTGATTAACTAGTATCTTCAGATTTAAGAGCTGATACTCTCAGTTCATTCAGTAAGTATCTATTACATCAGATAATATATCTTTCTCTTATTATAAGAGAGCATCTATCATTGAGTACTGACTGTCAGAATGATAGTGTATTATAAAATGAAAGTAACTTAAGAACTCAGATTATTATATCTGTTATTCAGTTAGTTTACAGATAGTTGTGAAGTATTTGAGATTCTTATAATCTATAACTATCTCAAATTCAGAGACACTTTGAAGTTCAGAGTCTCATTCTTCTAAACAGTGTATGATTGTAAGAAATCCCGCTTCTCGCGAATTCTTTACCTTTATTCCTATCTCTCATGTAATCAATAGAGTTAGTGGCCCTTGACTACACACAACTATATAGACTGAAGTTCACAAATACTATTCACAACTCAGCTTGAATACTATTATATATTTAATTTCTACATTTTATCTTTCTACTGTGACTACTTCTAGTAGTTAATAGTACATATTATGTCAAGCTGCAAACATCTGAATAATTGTCTGTAAGTACTTATTCTTACATTTCAAGCTCAGTCAGTCAGTAATCACTTATTATAACTGAAAGAACTAGAAACTTGTAAGCTTTAATCTCTGTGAACTCTACTACAGACACTCAGAAGCAGTCACTCAAATCATGAATAATCTTCATAAAAGAAGTCTCAGAGAATTTATTAATTACTTATAAGATATTATTCTCTGCATCTATGACAGAGAAACTCTTCAATTCAACAAATGAATTAATCTCAGTGAAGAACATTTTTAAGCATCTTCTGCAGAATCAAGCTATTTTTCTATAAGAAATACTTACTGTCTGTAAACACTCTTGAACTGAGTCTCTAGACATGATTTTCAGAAATATCTATGAACTGAAAAGAAACTTTCTTAAGCTGTGATCACTTAAGATCACTTATTGAATTACAATTAGACTGGCCGCTGAGATTATGAATTTCATATTTGATTTCATTTGATCTGATCTCATACATTTCTTGGCGTGAATCCCGCTAAGACTGGCTATCAAAAAAACATGCAAAGTAACTATATATAAGATCTTAAAATGAAACCATCACTTGAAAAAAATGAGAAAGTGGTTTTATTTGATCTCATTTAGTCTCATTCTTAGCATAAAGTTACTATTTTTAGACATTTTAAGGTTTTTTTTAGACTATTTTTAATTTTTTAAAAAGTAACACTTTTTGATAATGCTCAAATGAGATTTAAAGTCATTTAAAACAATAAAAATAATTTAAATTGAGAAGTGGAAATCATGATCTCATTTGAAAAATATGATAAGAGTAGACAGTAAGTTTCACTGAGACAGTATGAGACTACTATCTAATGTTAAAACCATGTAATGAGATCAGTTGAACTGGTAATGAGACTATCAAAAAATCTGGTCCTGGTCTCAGACACGGTCACACGGTCTGTCTAATTACAATCTATAAAAGCTTTTGCAAGTTTGTATTTAAAATTGACTCATAAGTCTGACTGTGTGATATAAAAGATGAAGAAGCTGTTATCTATACAATGACAGATCTCTACTACACTGAAGTCAAGAACTGGCTGAATTATCTAGAGAATGATTATAAGAGATTCTGCTGATCTGTTCTCAAGATCTATCTAGTGAATAAGTTGAGAGACTCTGTGAGTCAGACAGAGAATATCT